ATTTCGAAATTTAAAATTATCATCTTTAAAATTAACGAATTATCGTGAATAGTTACATTGTGAAGGAGAATTCGATTATTGAAAAGAAACTCGGGATTGTTTCGCGAGTTTGTCACGTTAGATTTTTTTACGAAATTGTTTAATGTATGAAGTAGCCTATTTACGAAGAGAATAAGGTATTAGTAAATTTGAAGAACATTTAATAGATATTTATAATTCTTTATGTTGCGTAACGTGCATTCTGAACAATTTTGTACCGAGAATTCAGCTCGTGCATCTTTAAAATTAACGAATTATCGTGAATAGTTACATTGTGAAGGAGTATTCGATTATTGAAAAGAAACTCGGGATTGTTTCGCAAGTTTGTCACGTTAGATTTTTTTACGAAATTGTTTAATGTATGAAGTAGCCTATTTACGAAGAGAATAAGGTATTAGTAAATTTGAAGAACATTTAATAGATATTTATAATTCTTTATGTTACGTGAATGATCGTATCATATTCGCAACCAGTGAAATCGATCCTTAAACCGACGCCGTAAACATTTATATCGAAGTAATCGTTTCACTTTCTTGATTGTTTTAGTTTGCAGCTCGCGCGATCTGAACGAGGTTAAAAAACATTCCCTGATCCCAATGCAGATTCATAGGTATCAAATCCCTTTTTTTTAAATCTTTTGCAAACAGCCATATTGCATCGATGCACGTGCAGTCCAAGTTTTCCATTTCTCTGAAAACAAATATCGACTACGATAAAAATAGTTGGTTGCTCGTATCCGAGCCGGAGGATTCACGGGGGCTCGAACAGAAAACAAAATGAAACGATATGGAACACAATAAAATTCGATTTGAAAAAGCATTACGGAAACCAACCATCTAGTACAATAATTCAACCCATAAAAGGAAAAGTAAATGCCACGTGTCGAAATTGCATACATAAACAATCAAGTTTCAACTCTTTGCACTGGAGAATATTTTTCTCGATAGATGTCCATTATTTTCTCCTCTAATATAAATGCTACTTTCTGCAATTAGCGTAAAGATACATTTCGCATAAATCAAGGGACAGAACCATTTCATTTCGATGTTCCACGTGTCGATGCGTTGTACAGACTTCAATGTTCAATCTCACACTTCGTAATTTCCTTGGGTCAAATGAAATGCCGACTGAAAGGGCTAAAAATACGTTTACACGAAAATTGGAAAACATCCGAAAGCCAATCTCGGCGACATCGACTTCCGAGTGATTCATACTAATCTCTTGATTTCCTTCTGAACCAGTTTATAAACGTCTCTGCGTCTACACGGGAGCCCACAGGCTGCCGCGTGTCACTCTTAATAAGTTCTATCAGTTTCAAGTCTCATTGCGAGCTCTCGGCGTCTTGTTTCCGAAGTTCCTCCGCTGTCGGCCGCGTTTCTCGCGTTTTGACGGGCAGCGAGATCAGTTTTTTGCTTTCCCGCGAAACCGAAGTCGGGAAAAAAAAGGAGCGGAGCGGCGAATGCAGAAGCTGTTCCCAGGGACTCGAACCTCCGCGGGATCCTCAGCCGAAATTAAAGTTCCCCGCGTGCTCGCCGAGCAACGATTCTGCGGCGGGCAGCAGTTTTTTTCACTCCCCTTGGCCGCGAAAACGGAATAATAAACCAATGCGCGTGAAAATAATCCCCGAGATGGCAGAGCATTCCCGACGAAAAATAGCCGGCGTGTATAGTCGCGTTGCGCGAACGGAAACGGCGAACTGTCTGTTCTGCGCGTTGATCGACGGTGATTTCACTTGAACCCTTTCGTACATTGATATCTACCTCCATAAAAATTGTGACAATCAATTATTCAGAGTTTCCTCAGACATTCATTGCAGTATTCAAGCGAAGCTACTTATTATCCGAATCATTTTGAATATTCAATGCTTTTAAGGTACCAATATCTGCGAAATAAAAAGATCGATACAGTACTTTCAGTATTAACCCTTTGCACTCGGAAGTTTCTCACTAGAAATATTTAACATTTCTTGACAGAACAAAGACTATTCTTTGAAAGTAACTCGAAGGGAAATCACAAGTACATTGAGGAACAGCGCTATTTTATTCCAATACTTCACGTAGGCATTATACAAAGCTGAACATTAACCCTAGAACTACCAAGTGAGTCAGAATGACTAATTCCTAATTCCTCCTTTTAGAATCATTGCGAAAGTAGACGTTTCTTTAAGAAATGATTAAAGAAGCTTTAGTAATACTAAACTAAAATATAAATCAATTGAAACCTAAATAAGTTCACGCTTATGTTTATAAATGAATTTTAAAAAGACGGTCCAAGTGCTCGGTAGTTCTAGTGTTATATCAGATTTTATAGTTGCACTGCATTAGATCAAGCAATGACTGATCTCCCGAGTGCAAAGGGTTAACCCAACATCCTTCCCTGTGCTCCTAAAAAAATTCACTCCCAGAAACAGTGTTTTCACGATCGATTCGAAAGTTTCCCAGCGAAGTTCCCCACGTCGAAGGCTGCTCGCGCTATTCGTTCTTTTTATTTCGTGCAGTTTCGTGCTCGGCTATCGACGCTGCACACTGGCTCAGCTTTTATCTAGGAACCTAAAGCCTCCATCCTCCGCTACGGCGTTTCCGCGGGTCCCCCGGCTCGTATCGGCACCCGGAAAATATTAATGGATACACCGTATCGGGGGCTGTCTGTCGCTCATTGTACGCCGCGCGCGAATCGATACGAGCGTGTTGTTTGTGCACGAGGAGAGCCAGCAGCCGGGCCATCGGCCGTTGCACGCCGTTGCACGTGTCGGGGCGGCCGTGCTCGCCCAATAATCTTTCTGAATCCGACGGCTCCTCCGCGGAGAGACGGTTTTCGACGTTGCGAAACCGCCGACCGCGGCCCACCGGACCAGAGCAGCCCGCCGAGAGACGCGTTTTTGTTTCTGCGGTCGGTCACGCCGGCTCTTTCGGCCATTATCGTCGTAGGAAACTCGTCCCGGGGTCCGGGCGAAATAGTTTCGAACGATCGACAATGCTCCGGTCGCCCGGTTGTTCGGTTTTTGCGTCCCCTTTGGTCACTCTTCGGCTGGAACGTGCGAATCGCGAAGTTCACCCCTTGCTTTGTAGTCGTAGTGTCTAGGATTCTAGCGTAGTTCGGAAGAGGAGAGGGGATAGAATTCCATTGTGCGTCTAGGTTCGCTGTGAAGAGCTATCATTGATGATAGAGAAGTGATATATAATTTGGGCTTGCTCATTTAACGGTGGAGTCGCTCAGAAGCCAATGTGGTTAAGTCCAAAGAAAAATTGAGGAAATTAATGCTTTTAAAGTGCTTGGTTTATTAGTTTGATGGGGAAAGTATATAGTCTTTCAGGGTAGGTTTCGCGATAAAATATTTATTCCATTGAAATTTACAAAACTCAAGAAATATCAAAAAATGGACTTCATAGTGGATACTACAATATTTATGATTGTTAAATTCTGCTCGAAATCCTCACCATCAGCCTGACATAATATTACAAGGGTTTCATTCTGTCAGATCCAAGTTATATATTAGTCTTCTATTATTGTGGTATTTCAGGATAAACGCACACGTACAATTCTTCTCTTTTTTCACCGAATCACGACGAATAAAGTACTTCTGTCGAACGCAGTTGCGAAAGAAATCATAGGACAAGGGGTTATCGAACGGAGCCCCCGAACGCGCACCGTAAAAGTATAAGATCCATAGCCGAACGACGGAAAAGAGTTTTCCTCGGCGAACAGGCGAACATTTCGCGAGATTGTTTCGGCGTGCCGCGTTATGACTAGCTTTCTTCCTTTCTATTCATCCTTCGGCACGGTTTCTTGCCGGCCTACGGGCCACCAGTCGCGGAATTGCAACGCGGAGGCACAATGACTTCACCGTTGCTCGCCGACGTCGGTTAGTGGCTTACGTGTTTCATCGTGGCCGATGCACACCGGGAGACTATTATCATAGTATGTACTTTCATTACGAAAGGTCTTCATTATCTCGCCGCGATTCGATCTACCTGGATCAATATCATTTCCCTCTTACGTTTCGTTAACGGTGCACGCTGCACATTTGTGATCCCCTTATCTATCGCGCGATCCGCCGCCATCCCCCTCGTATACCGCGCAGGGTTTCCTTACAGCGGAATTTATGGACATTGTAAATACCGGGGAATATTAACCCGTCGCGGATGAAGAGCTTTTTAAGGGGCTAAAAACGTGTTCTGTGCGAAGTATGCGAATGCTCTCGCGTTTCGCGAGTAGTATGGGCAAGCGTTCCGCGAATAACGTATCGAATTTTGGAATGGTGGGAATGTCGAGACTGCGTTCAACGATGTTTTGTTGGTTAAATAGTTCAGTTGTTTGTGCGTAGGCTTTCGCTGTAAATATGGAGTTTTAATATAGTCAATATTCGATTTCGAAGGATTAACTGGTTACAGAAACGTGATACGACTACACGTTGCTGCATTATGATTTATCCCTTGCATAACTACTTGTACATGTTAACAATATGTATTAAATTCAGTGGAAAATTCCTCGAAACCTAGGTACAACAGAAATTCTGTAATAGATCAGACTTGCCATTACGCTAGGATTGAACAAGCAATCAGTTTGCCTGAGTAACCCTGTTACAAACGAAGGTTCTCGAGAATATTAACCCCTTACGGACGAAGATTCTTTAAAGTACACGAAGCTTGCAACATATGAAGCTAAAGTACACATCGGATGCTTAAACAATAAAAGAAGGAAACTGTACACTGATCACTTGCTATTCAAATAATTAAATCATTCGCTTGCAACTTAGTATTCCAAATATGAAACGTCCATCTCGCCGAAATGTCAACATTCGTCCGCAAAGGGTTGAAAATGCTTTTCTCTGAACGGTTGGAAAATAAGTCAGTTATTCACAACTTTTATTCAATTCTTCACAACTTTCGGTTTTAAACTTTTGAAAACTGAAATATGTGTAACACTTCCATGATTAACAAATTTTCGTTTGTCGTTTTCAGAGGCCTGCCCTGCGGTGTACAGCCCCCAGAACCAGTACCCGATCCCGATGGCGACAAACTCGCGACGATCGCGGCTCGTTTCAGCTACTTCCAGGAGAGGAGCAGCTCCCTGGCCACTGCCAAAGTCGATCTCCGTAGGAACATTAACCCGCCGGCCAGGTACAAGAATGCACGGCCGACGGTCAGGCTCAGGCCGCGGCAGGTGCTCTGCAGCAAGTGCAGATCGATCTGCAACGAGAACAGCGAGAACGTCGACGTCAGCCGGAAACGGAAGCACGACGAGGTCCAGCAGGAACAGCAACAGTCGCAACAACAGGTATTTACAGCAAGATGTATAATTTTCTCGAAATTATCAACGACACGTTTCACTTTTATGAAATTTCGTTCGAGTTCAATGTAACGTTTTTCACCGTTGTTCATTCCTGTCGAAGTCAATTGTAACGTGTCTCAATTTTTATTATTATTAGACTGTTTCGAATTTAATCGGAATACGATTTTCGGTGTATTTGATGATAATGATAATGATGTTTAGCAGTCTGCGTCGATCGAGATTGTTGTTGATCCTTCGGGAAAAGATAATGATACTGATTTGAATTTTTGGGGGGAAGTGAATGTTTGGGGAAGATTGAATTTGGGAATTGATGAAGTTTATTGTATTCTTTATTCTATTGTGAAACGTTTTTCTATGAATTTTTGTTCACTTTCTGAAGTTCAATCGAAGTAGTGGTTGTGTTAAGGGTAATGATTTCTAGAGAATATTAATTACAAGATAGTGTGTGCCTGCCAGTTGCATTTGACATTAAATTTCACAAAAATTGCCGGATGCACGTGAAACCAGATTTCACCGAGTTAATTTACAGTGGTACAGAAACGCTTTGCGGACAACTCGGAAACCACGCGATGTTTTGTCTGAAGGAAATGCAATTTAACATTGTTGCCTTACGAAACACGATTATGTTACACGCAGATCGCGTCCAACATGGCAACTTGCCCTATATTACACACCTTCCTCTTCGATTATACAAGAATTGTTCTAATAATATGCCAATGGTCGTATAGTAAAATTCTCATACCAAAATACGCTGATCTAGATTTGAATACAAAGTTTCTCCTTTCTCTATTTCACAATATTTTCTATTTCAAATATTACATGTTTCTATTAAAAAAATTAATTCATACAATTCATATATATAAAAAAAATTAATTTATATGAAACTTTCATTACATTATGAATTAATTAAATTTGAATTTGAATTGTACTTAATTCAGTTACAAGTTACTGAACATTTTGTGCGTACATATTAATTTTATTTCTATGAAAAAAGGAGATTCCGGTGAAAGATCAGATACTTCGAAAACCAAGGGAAGTTATTATCGTTTCCTGTTTGTTCGCGATAGAAAGAGAAGGAGAGGAAAAGAATACTTGACGTTTTGGTTTGATTAGGTGACCGGTCACGGATCGACGAGAAGAAGCGACCGCCGCTGCGGCCAGCAGCCGCAAAAAGCATCGAGAATATTGTTCTCCGAGTGTCAATCCGAAAACATCACAGTGTCTTCCCATCAGCCAACAAAATCCTCGTCGTCGTCATCGTCGTCGTCGTCTTCGTCGTCTTCGTCGTCAACGGCGGCTTTGAGCCCCGACTCGTCGAAGTTGGCACCGTCTCTCATACCCAAAATCTCGAGACTCCAGCCGAACGAGATCAATAACGCCACACAGGGAACTGGTTAGTCAATCCTTTCATTTAAACTGGTCCTTTCTTGCCTCCCTTTTTTCCCTTGTTCCCTGAAATATCAGACATAATCAGCACTGCGAGTAAACGCAGTAGCAGTTAATTACTTCGAATAAACATATCTGTGGAAGTTCTAAGAACACTTCGAAACGTTGCTACTGCAATAACAGACTTCGAAATGACGTAGACCGTCCCCAGCATCTGCCAACGCGACAACATTCCATTAACCAATATTAATAATCGAGAATTCGTTTGTCGAAGTATTAACACTGCAAAACGAGAAGTAGTGACATTTCAAAGCATTCGGTTCACAGTTTTAACTCTACAAAATGAAAACTAAACGAATTTCCATTACCTCTATAAAATGGAAAGAAAAATTTTGAAGCATTCAATCTAAATCATTAACTCCACAAAGCTAGGAATGTACACCTCTCAAAGCATCCGATTCAAAGCGTAAGCTCCCCAAAAAGAGAAGTAGAAACATTTAGGAACGTTTAATTCAAACCATTACCTCCACAAAGTCAGAGATAGAAAAATTTCAAACCATTAACACTGGAATTAGTACCCATTCAAAACTGAACTTAATCGCTTTGCCGGAAAACAATCCTCGAATTCCTCACCGTTTCTTCTAAGCTGAAGCTTCTAATCTTCCAGAAAAGGTGAAGATCGCGCCATCGTACTGGAACAACAGACGCGACGCGGGTGGTTCGTCCGTGAACGCGTTGGAGCCGACGGAGGAGCGCATGGAGTCGACGGACTGCGACAGTAATCCGTCGATGGCGTACTGCGCGACCCCCAGAAGGCTTAGCAGTTCGTCAGTAGAAAGCGCGAAGATACCGGAAGAGGATGAGAAGAAGACGTTCGCGGCGGCTGACTCGACGATGAGGCCGCGGGCCGGCCGCGTTCCGCGGAAAAAGCGGTCCGTCGGCTCGATGGAGGACCTCTGGGACGAGACAGTGTTCGAGGACCCGACGAGAACTGCCAGGACCACGCCGGTCATCAAGATCTCGTTCGGGGCGCAAGGCGAGGGCACAGTGTTGAAGATACCCTCGAAGATTCAGGACCCGGAGTACGAGCAAGAGACGGACGAGGCGGAAGACGCGCAGACAGAGACGGAGAGGGATCCGCTCGAGTTGCCTAGGACGTTTGAGAACGAGTACGATTACCGTGAAGACTGCGAGGAGGACGGCCAGGAACAGGTCGATCCTCAGAAGCAAGGGGTGAAGGACGCTAGCGCGAAGGCAGCGAAACGAGCGCTGAAGAAGGCTAAGAAGGAAGCTAGGAGGAAGATGTTAGGGGGCGTTTCGCCTGCCAGATCGCCTTGCAATGGATCACCGAGGTAAGTTCGCTTTGACGACCTTTTAATTGCTTGTTCTATTTTCTTGAGTATGTTTGGTTGGAAGGTCTTGTCGCGGTTGTTAAGGAATTTGATAGTTCATGTAGTGTGTAATTTGGAGATTTGTGTGGAGCCTCTAAGTGACGCCTGATCCTCTAAAGATTAAAGAGAAAGTAGTTACATTGAATTTTATTAGCACTAGAACTACCGGATGGGTTAAAATGACCCATTCATGACTTCTTTTTTCCAGTTATTGTAAAGATAACGGATGCTTCTCTGAGGAATTACTAGAAATTGATTTAATAATACAGAAACTACAGTGCAAATCCATTGAAGTCTCAATAGTTGCACCATTTAGTTTCTATGGAGAAATTTCAGGAAGACAGTTTGACTGCTTGATAGTTGTAGTGTTGAAATAAGATTAAGTACAATCTCTCCTCTTAATTCGTTCGTTACGTTAATGATCTCCTGTTTGATAACCCCAGTGGATTGTTCAATTTCCAGATACAATCCCACCTATGACACGCTGTCGTACCACCGTCGCAAACATAAAGTGAAGCATAAAAAGAAGCACAAGGAGGACAGGAAACACAAGAGTCAGCAGCAAGCGCATCAGCAGCCGTGTTTAGAGACAGGCGCGGAGAATCAGCAGAACTGGAACGTGTTGCCGGGCAGCGAGTCGTACACAGCCATAAAGGAGCAGTGCCTCAAGCAGAAGTTGTCCATATCTCTGAAGAGATTGAACACGAACGCGTACGCCAGATGCGATTATCCTGTCAGCAACGCGTCCTCCGGTTGCAAGAGTCCTGGCGCCAGCAGCGACGAGCTGAGCGAACAGGAACCGGAGGTGGACGCAGGCGAAACCGCCCCTGACTTCCCCCCGCAGTCTCATCCCCTGATGATGCGCCTCGCCGCCACTCCCGTCGAGCATTGCCTCACTGCCAATGGCAGGAGAATGGACGTCGGTGACGTTGTATGGGGAAAAATTCATGGATTCCCTTGGTGGCCTGGGAAGGTACGTGCCAGGCGAATACCATTAACATATTCACCGCGTTTCTGCGTCGCCTTGCATATCACAGAGGCAGCTAGACCGGAGATATTTATGTAAATTTATATTCTTATAGAATAATTTATGAAAATAAGATAACACGGTTCGACTGTACTATTACTCAAAGTTTCATTAACGTGTTTGCTTCATAATGTTCCCCATGGTTCCGTTTGCGATAAGTGCATAACATCTGCGGCCTAGAGATAACTATGTAAATAACCTTCAACGCGGATATTGAAAATGTTAATATTTCGATTATAACATTAAGTATTATTTCTGCATTGATTGATGTTTCCCTGTTGCAGGTTCTTAGTATCACGGTTTCTTGTAAAGAAGATGGTACATCCTCCGGGCCCCAGGCACACGTTGCTTGGTACGGCTCTTCGACGAGTTCTCTGATGTCGTGTGACCAGTTGAGTCCATTTTTAGAAACGTTCAAGGTAGCTATTATTCTTTCAAGTTTACCGATGTCTTATTGCTGTCATAGACTTATTAACCCTTGGAAAGCACAGGTGTTTAAGTACAAACACAACGATGCCAAAGTTTTTAAATTTTTATTTTTAACGTTTTGATCTCTCTCGCGCCATTAGTGACAGTCTCATTTCTGCCAAAAGTACTTTTGAATTTGAAAAGATACAGAAATGTATTCAATTCAAATACATAAATAAACCGATAGGGTTTATGACCTTAGTAGGGTTCAAGGGCATCCAAGGACGTCCAAGGGTTAAACTCCATTTCCTCAACTCACTTTTTAAATCTCGCGAAACTATTTTTGTTGCAGACTCGGTACAACAAAAAGAAAAGGGGGCCGTACAAGGAGGCGATACGGCAGGCGCAGAACGAGGCCCGAAGTCAGATCACGCCTAACTTGACGAGCAGCGTGCTGAACGTGTGCGGCTCGCCGCGCGAGGTGAACGTCCTCTCCTAAGGGAAGGTGCGCGGGCCACCTGACACCATTCCTCAACTGCCGGCCGATCCGTCGATGCCGAGCGATCTCTCTCTCTCGCCGGCGGCTCGGGATCGTCGTGTAATATATAGAAAAGATTTGTACATAATCTAGCGTATAATGATGAAAAATAGCTCTTTGGATCGATGTTCTTATCAGTCGAAGCGCGAAGACGTTCCCGCGGCGATGATATCCGCGGGAGCCACGTGACCGACTCGAAAACTAAAGAAGAAGAAGAAGAAGAAGATGAACAAGATGAACAAGATGATGAAGAAAAACGGAAAAAAAGTGAATGAAGTTTACTGCCATCACTGGCGCGTTTTTTTATCCTCAGCTTTTGGAGCGAACGTTTAGCGTGTAAGGAAGTATTTAGATTATGTCTAGGTGATAAATAATGTGTCGGCTCTCGAAAATCATTTTTTTTTTCTTCGTTTTGTATCGAAACGTGACACTCGTTCGATAGCTGCGACACGGGCGTCATCGTCGGCGTCGTCGTCGACGGCCAACACGCTCGTGCTACTTAAAATTCTTTGTATACATACACACTCACGAAACATACACACGTACACGTATATACATATATACATATATATATGTATGTATGGTATATATATTTGTATTACGACTTCATTGTGATCATTATCGGAATATATTCTTCGAGCTGATCCAGTGCGGGCAGTGAATCTTCGATGCGAAACGTGTCTCTGCCGGTTCACGTCTGATCGCGCTGACACACGATTGTCAGTGGCGGCCATCGCGGGCGACACGTTCGAGAAAACAGACAATATCTTTCGACGAGCGACGTCGGCGG